TATGATTGCTGTCTCCAAATCAGGCCCGAATAGTAAGATAGCTGTACTCCATGTAGTGGAGCATCCATCTGTCTCCTTTACTCAGAAGAAGCTCCCAGCCCCTGCAGCACAGTGCCACCGCGATAGCAAGCCGGGTGGTTTGGACATGCATCTGTCCGGGCAGAAGTATTATGCTGTCAGATGTAACCAGATCTCAGCATTTGTGTGAGCTTTGGGGGACCGGTAGTTAATGATCTGATTTGCCTGGCAGCATTCAGTGAGCAACCTCTCAACTCTTCCTATGGGGAGGAACAGTTTGGTATTGATCCCTTCAGGAGCGATCTCGGGTGATGAGGACAGCAGCAGGAGGAAATAGTTGTGATGTGGATTTTCACGGGTTAAGACCAAAAGGGGATCTCATGACTCTCTACCCTAATCTTCTATATGAAGTCAATGGGATTTGAGCATGGCTTCCAAGTCCTTTGGGATTCCTGCCCTGCAGAGCCAAGCTGGAACAACTAAAGCCAAAGGAATGAATAGGGAGAAATGGAAAATTTCTACTCCCTATTTTTCCGAACAAGAGCACATCAGGTTTGTGATAAGAATCGGGCAATTCGGTGATGTTGCACTGCTCCCAGTCAGTCTGAGGACCCAATCCCACCCTGCTCAGATCCCTGAAACCAAGGTAATACATCTACTTTTGTTCCTCTCGGTTTGAAGACAACGTCCTGGAAGTGGTGAAGGGAAGCAGGACCCACCTGCCCTTGGCATTAATGGGGTTTCCGGGACTCGGGCAGGATGGAATCGGCTCCCACAGCGATGCCTAACAGCTGGAATAGCATCTTGCCCCATCTAGGTTCCCACAGAGATCCTAACCTTGAAGGACTCGTACTAATGGCCAATAGAAGTGGGCTAAACACACATTTATTTCCTGTTGCTTTTATTCTCTTGTTCTCCCCGTATGACAATGGCCTGCTTGTCCCCATGACAGACCCACCATTGATTTTTGCAAGTGTCAGAGACACCCCAAAACAATAATGAACGTGTCTCTTGCCAGGCACGTGAACAATGTCACGCATTAACCAGCAGCAGAACAAAACCCACAAACAATGGACTGGAAGCTTGCACTGACTGGGATGCCACCTCAGGACCAGTATCACGGTGGTGCTTTGCGCATGCAGGTAGCTTTTAGCACTGCTGCCCAGTGTGTGTGGCTTGCAGAGAGGCATGAGTTTGCCCAGTGTAAAAGTATAAATTATTTGTTGTTTGCAAAGACATGAAAAGCAGCAGCGTTTCTGAGGCAGCCACTAAGGCATTACATCAGAGTGCTTTTGAGTCCCAGCTGGGAGCATCTTGAGGCTGGCACATCACGCTGTAGGTCTTGTTGATCATCTGGTTATTCCTGATGAGACGTGTCATTTGGGGTGAGCGGTGCGGGGGCGAAGTGGGCTTGCGGGATTGGTAATGGGAGCTGGGATGCTATGCACTGGCTGGTGTAATGTGATAGCCCTGCCTGGGGTGCTGGCTCAAGGATGTACTCCAGAGCCTCTGGGTGTAAAAGCACAAGTCTGCTGCCTGAGCGAAAACAGCCACCTCCTAGCACTGAGGCTGTGCAGCCTGGATCCTCCGTAGCAAATCAGAGGGCCGCACTGAAAAAGCGCCGGCTACCAGTGCTAGTCCAGCCCAGGCCCGCAGCGGTGAAGCTGGGGGGTCATTACCTCTTCCCACTAGTTGGATCGAGGACACAACAGGTCATAGGAACCTGTTTCCCCTTCAGACATATAGGCAACTGTGCTGGCTTGTAGCTGGGGCTCACTGGCAGAATCCAGCACCTGCCCCTATTTGCACAATCTCTGTGTACCTGCAGGGCAGCGTGCTTCAAAAGACCAACAGCAAAACTGCAAGAAAGCAGGTCAATTAAACTATTTTTAGGTCTCCCCAACCTGCTGGACCCTCCTTTGTGGAGGCTCAAACCTCATTCATGCCTCTGAAAAGATTCAAGACTTCTGGCTTCACATTAAAAGTACCCTATTCCCCTTCCTGCCTGGGCTCTGCTGGTTTGGACTTTTCTATTTTAAATGCACGTTAAGATGGGACTGCTAATAAAAAATGATTCCTGAGCCAGGTAGGAACAGCACGTGGTGAGGTGTAAAAATCAAGCAGCCTAGCACAGAGCAGCCAAGGGGATGCCTCTGTCACAGCGTACATGTGTGCTGCTAATGCCAACAGCCAGCAATAAGTGTACTCAGGGGCATTAACTGAGCTCTCTCAGCCTTCCCCAGCGGGAAGCATGCCTTGATTTTAGAAGATTCCCAACTGGGGTTTTTGGCTTCCAACCACCTCATCTAAGCCACGGTTCATCCAAGGCCCCAGTACACCGCACCTCTACATTGCAGCATTGGGCCTTACCGCTCTGCTTAGGAAAGTACTTTTCTTCAGCAACTGGCAAGGGAGGCCTTTCATAATAACAAGCATGCACATCCGTGGCCTGTTGGGCCTCTCGCTAAGCTCACGTCATGGTCACAGACAGCAGGGCAATCCCCATGCTCTCTTGCATTAGCTAAAGGAGACTCTCCACCCAGCGGTAGCAAGTGTGTGGAGCCCAGCTAAGCCATGGCAGCTCTGCCCAACACAAGGTAACGATATACAGGCAGTCCTCAGACTTACAACGCAGTTGGTTCCTGAAAAGCACGTCTTAAGTCGAAACATAACTCATAACATTGTTTCCTATGGGAAAATCATTCTGAGTGGGGGATTGGTTCCTGAACCAAGGCCCAATACCCTATTTTCATCAAAAATAACCCAGAATTTTGTACTCAATCAATTATAGATGAGTAATATAGCTAAATTCATATATTATATTGTAAATAGCAATCCTATCAATTTGGAAGGACTTCTTTGAGGTGACTGCTGGACTTTTTTAAAGGCTCTTAGTCGGACTTTTTGAAGGGCTCTTGACTGGAGTCTTCTCAGCAATCCTGGCAGCAGGTTTTTCTGGAGTCTCATCTGCTTTCTTGAAGAAAGCGTCCAACAAGGAGATGGGCGACACAGCAAACTTGCTGGCTGGCATAGCGTCACATCCAATCCAGCGTGGTAAAGTCAAAACCAATGTCGGAAAGTTGAAACAGGGTGTCAATTTATCAACATTGTAAGTGCGAAACGTTGTAACTCGAAACGTTGCAAGTCGAGGACTGCCTGTACGTGCTTCACAGAGGCAGCCTTAGCTTCAAGTGCCCATTGGGATTTCAACTGCTTGCATCAGCTGGCTGGAGCTAGTTATATAGCACTGGGGATGTGCAGGGGGCCTTATGGGAAAAGGAAGAAGAGACAGCTTTTGTCCTGAGGTGTTCGCAGTCTCTGTTATACCAATCTGCAACAGCCAGCTGCCTTTTAAGCAGGAAAGAAATCCAGGCTACAGTGCCTTTCAAACCCTGGACCATTTCTACTGGGGGTGCAGTCCACCATGGGGCATTGCATGCCCACTACACTTGACTGGACACCTGATGCCTACGTATCATGGTTTATCTAGTTCCTCACATGCTGGCTATGAAGACTAGCCCAGCCCAGCCTTTCCTTAGCCCCTCGCTGTTCACTGGCCCTCTCTCCTTCCTCACAACAGGCAGTTTCTTTCCACCTTGCCACACTAACCTAACAGGAGCACCCATCAGCTTCCTGCTTATGTTGTGCCATGGTTAGCAAATGGAGAAGCAGAGTAAAGTAGCAAGGGGATGAAAAGGACAGCTGGGTCACTCTCAGAAGGTGTCACTCTTTGCCTTGCCAAAACACTAGCTGTTCCCCAGGCATTAACCCATGCCTTTGCAGCGTTTCTGAAAGGACGGCTGGACATTGGCTTTTGCGTTTATCCAATGTTCCTTCAGGGAGCTAAATCATTTTCAGGTAAGTATGTCTTTGCAGGAAGGGATCCCATTCACGTGGCTTCCGTATTGGCCAATACTGTCCCCCAAAACAAAGACATTCATGTCACTCCCATAGCCAGTTCAGTACAGAGAAGCTGAACACTGAATTCAGCTTCGAGGCAGCTGACAGCAGCAGTTTTAGCCTCTGGAGCTGGAAAACGTTTGAATGCAACAGGATTGTGAAGTGATAATTTCCTACTGTCAGAGGGAGGCTGAAGAGCCGTCTTATTAGAGAAGAATCACACCTGCTAGCGGCTGCCTGGTCTGTTCTCGCATAGGGTCTCTTACTGGAGATTACTCTTGACCATGTACAAAGGAAAAAGCATAATTTTATAGTTAAGGGACTGGACTAAGATTGAGGAGGAGTCACTGTGCAGCTTCAGGTTTCTACAACCTCTAGACCTCTTTGGTAGGGAACACTTTGAGCAGCCTCATCAGCTGATCAAAGTCTCCCAACAGGCAACTCCACCACTTAGCAACAAGCCCAGGTGGGAAGGCTGAGAGATGACAACTGCCCTTCCAGAGATGCTTCCATGTGAATGTGGGATCATCAGGTTTTAATATCCATCCATCGTTAACACAGCACTCTCCCTTGAGATCCAGTCCAGTACTGGGCCAAGAGACCGGAAAAGACAAGCAAGCCCCATTCCAAATGGAGTTTGTAGCTTGTTACATAGTCTTAACCCGCCTTTCATCAATCCTGCATTGACACCAAAAATCTCAAGCACATTATTTTCTTAAAAGCTTCAGCTCCAGCATTCACGTAATTAAGAGAACATCTCTTCTTCCATTCAAAACAAACATTTCTAGCCTTTCTGATTATACAGGAAACTCAGCACAGATGACACAGGCTCACCTTAAGGCTGAAAAAGCAGAAGGCAAAGGAAATGAAATATTGTTGGTGAAACAAAAAAAGTAAATAAATCAGGAGATTTTCTTAAAAATCAGTATTACAGTTTTTGGGGGCCTAACTGTGGATATTTGAACGCTTGGGGTTGGCAACAACATAGCACGTTCAGATGCAAGTTCATCAGAGCAAGGACCATCATGCTATGTATGATCGGCAACTGCAATACTAAAGCTTTATTCTCTCTTATAATTCAGGTTTGGATGCACTATATAAACACCTGCAGCTACAGCAGTACATCTCCTCGATCTCCAAACTAAACAGTCCACAGAGAAAAAGGTTTCCAGTGAACGTAAGTGCCCAATACCTTTTCTTTGTCATTCTCAGTGTGGAGTTGGGTCCGTGGAATTCAGTGATTTTATCCCTTTGAAAAAAGATAGCTTACCTATGGCTGGCTGGGACACCAGAAAGTGTCTAGAAAATAAAATTAGAGCTGCATCTGTAACGAACTCAGCTATAACAGGTGACCATCATCTGTCACTATAATGCAAGCTCCCCCCTGACAGAAGCAAGCCACCGGAGTTACTGGCAGCATATACGACTTGCAATGCAGTGTTGCACATGGGATGTCCTTGCGAAGGGTTTCTTTAATTTACAGGGTTTAAAAGGTCAGAAGGGACCATTAGAAAACCTTGTCAGCCCTCCCAGGCCATTAACTTATACCCCATTATCTCTTGCGTTGAGCCCAATAACTTGGTTTGGCTAACACAACTGTAATTTGGATAAGGAATACCCAATCCCAGGCTGAAGGAAACACCTGCTGATTGACCTGCACTTACTTAAAAGCACTGGAGTTGTTCCCCATTTGCTTCTCCACTAGATTTAGGGAAGACCTAAGTGGCTGTGTTGAAAAGGTTCTTCCCCCGTTTTTATCTTCAAAATAGCAGGAAGTGTTGGAGGTCTCTGAGGATGTGCCCTGCAAGCTCACACCCCTTAACTGAAGGGTCAGGAGTGTCAGATGCCTAGCAAAAGCTTCTTTCCTCCAAGATATTAATTAGTCATAGACACTAAAACAGCAATAAAAGGGAGCCTTACAGAGTGTGTGTCAGAAATCCTTGCCTTTATGCTTGCTCAGCTGTCACTCGCTTGGTTCTTATGGTACAATTGTTCCTCATTCTCCTGTCTCTTCCAGCAAGGAAAGGGCCTGGATTTCTAACGTGGAAAAAAAGACACACCCCAGTCATTATCCTCAAGGAAAGATAAAGAGAAACATTTGAATGTATATTTGCTTTGCAGGTGCCACGGTTCCCCTACTGAGAAGAGGGAGAATGTATTTGAAAAAGGAAGGCATTGCAAACCCCCTATTTTTATATATATATTTCAAATAGTTAAACATTTCCCTGGGATTCCCTTGAGCCCCAAGCTAGTGCCTCTGCACAAGAAAGCCAAGATAGCTAATCTATTTTCATTTGCTAAAGTAGGCAAAGTGCAAAAAAGCAACACGCCGAACAGCATAAACACTCGAAAGATAATTTGGAGTCAATTAAGTGCAGAAGAGATTGTTCGTTATTATTTGCATGGGGTAGAGCCTAGCGGCCCCATTATAGTAAAGCGCTGCACACACACACACACACACAACAGACAGGCCCAGCCCTGAAAAGCTGTATACCATTAGTAGGTGTTCCAGGCATGGTAGGATTGTGCCTCCTTCCCTTGTTACACAGGCCAGAGCTCCCGTTTGTTTGTGCTGCCCTGCTCACACAGTGTTGCTTGTATTTTACAGGGTGAGTAACTAAGCCAAGGAAGCTCCTCCAGTTCTAATCCACCAGGCAAGACAATTGTTTCCTTGGCAGGAGATCCCACGGGATCCCTACCCATAATGGAAGCGTGAGCGCGAGGCTCCTCCATGACCTCCAGAAGCCACAACTCCTTGCCGCGAACTCTGATGGCTCCTCGCATGCTTTCTGAAGGGGCGCTGGGAGGCATCTCCCAAATCACCTCCTCTCTGTACCTGAGCAGGGGCAGCGTCGCCTCCAACCGACACCTGCTTTTGGCTCGGGGGATCACCTGCATCATCAATGCCACCATCGAGATCCCCAACTTTAATTGGCCCCAGTTCGAATATGTCAAAGTGCCTCTGGCCGACATGCCTCAAGCCCCCATCTCCCTGTACTTCGACAGCGTGGCCGACAAAATCCACAGTGTCGCGCGGAAGCACGGCGCCACCTTAGTTCACTGTGCTGCAGGGGTGAGCAGGTCAGCCACCCTGTGCATCGCCTACCTGATGAAGTACCACAACGTGTCCCTGTTTGACGCTTACAACTGGGTCAAATCGAGACGTCCCGTTATACGCCCCAACGTGGGCTTCTGGAGGCAGCTGATAGACTACGAGCGGAAGCTCTTTGGGAAGACCACGGTTAAAATGGTACAGACGCCATATGGCATCATCCCAGACGTTTACGAGAGGGAGAGGGGACCTCTGGTGCCTTACTGGGGTATTTAACATGACTGCATCCATGGGAAGAGCAGAAGGGACTCGTTCCGAGTCGACCAGACTAGAGACAATCCCTTCTTCCTACGGCCAACTTCAGTTCTTCACCACAGGGCAGAACCTTAATTAAGTCTCACCTCACTAACCTGAAAAGCCAACAATTTCCCCCACTTGTCTTCAACGCATACATAAGCAAGTAGGCCTCATTCTACCTTCCGCTGATTTAGCAGAGTGAGGTCTCCTTACTAGCATTTATTCCCATCACAAAGCACCTCTTCCACCCCTCCATCCACCCCCACCCAGTCAGTTTACTAGCATACTACAAGCAAAGAGCTAAAAGGCATTTGGCAGAGTTAATGAACAAAAGTACACTTTGTGATGCGGTAGCCTGGATATTTCTTTAATAGCTTGTTTGCTTCCTCGCGAAATCCTGTAGCTGATAAGGAGCAGCACTAGCACAAAATGAATAAGGTCCTACTCTAACTCAGCGGGTTTTTTAAGAGCCAGAGAGAGGAGTGCAGAAATTTTTGCTAGTGCTGTTATTTTCTTTAACTACTGTAGTGACTTATAATATTATATAGTGTTTAGGAAACCTTTAGCCAGCATTTACTCCTCATAAAGTTAAGTCAGTCCAAGTCTGCCACAAATAACATAATCCAAAACGATTAAAATAATTGCAATATGTTCCGCAGCAGAGTAATAGTCCCTGAAAGTACTTGTCCACCTGGATAAATGCATACATGAGTACATGTTTGCAGGATGGGGGAAACATAGCAGGGCTCACTTCAAAGCATAGCTCAGTACAGAAGTGATGGGTTAACCTTTTCCCACGCCAACTGGCCAAATGAATGCTTAGGAAGTTTTGTGCATGCAGCTACCCTCACAAAAGGGTTGAGCTGTAGTGTTTCATTACCCAGCCAGTAAATTGGAAGTAGGGAAATCTGCTGGATCACTTAGCTCCAAGTACAGCTGCAATCTGCCTCAGATCTTTTCAAGTTCACTTTGTTACGGCCTCAAGGATTATGTTGCATTCTAGAATTATCCTGCTCAAGACACATTGATCTAGTAAACCTGCAGTACAAAGATGGCTCTATGGAGAAGGCTTCGGTTTCTTTTTTTTTTTTTT